AGAGCAGCGGTTCTCAACCTGTGGGTCGCGACCCCTTTGGCGGTCGAACGACCCTTTCACAGGGGTCGCCTAAGACCATCCTGCATATCAGATATTTACATGACGATCCATAACAGTAGCAACATGACAGTTATGAAGGAGCAACGAAAATAATTTTATGGTTGGGTCACCGCATGAGGAACTGTATTTAAAGGGCCAGAAGGTTGAGAACCACTGGGCTAGGGCAATAATAATAAAGCTTTCTACACTATCTCATCCTCTGATGGGGGCTTCTAGAAATTCTTATTTCAGTGGTACTCCAAGAACCCCACCTCTACCGGTAACAATACTGTTTCTATTCAGAATAAGAGATTTCCTCGCCCTCCCTGCCCTGCAATTGATGCAGAATTGCTGTGTAGGCGTGTGGCAGCTGTCTTCATAGGTGGCGGGTTCTCTGTGGTGGCGAGATGTACCTGAGATATTGCAGATGACACTTTGGGTGAAGCAAGACCCCACACAGTATGGGCAGCATGTTATTCTGATCATTTCCTTCAAGGGTCAGGTGCGTGAGAGTCTCGTAACCACCCAGAATGACGCAGAAGTTCTGGTAAGCATCAGCTGGGGACACATTTCGGAGGCTAGGGCAGAGAAAACAAAGGTGAGCTCTTGTACCTCTACTGCACATACATGGACACAAAGGGCTGCCATAGGTTTACACATTAGAAACGAATTCCTTCTCATATTTCCCCCTTTATTGAGGTATTACCAACAAATAAAAAATTGTACATATTTAAGGCCTAGGATGTAATGTGTTGGACTTAATGCTTTTTAAAAAAATATATTTTTATTTTCAGAGAGGAGGAAGGGAGAGGGAGAGAGAGATAGAAACATCAATGATGAGAGAGAATCATTGATTGGCTGCCTCCTGCAAGCCCCCTACTGGGGATCGAGCCCACAATCCAGACATGTGCCCTTGACTGGAATCGAACCCGGGACCTTTCAATCTGCAAGCCGATGCTCTATCCACTGAGCCAAACCAGCCAGGACATGGACTTAATGCTTTGATATATTCGTACCTGGTGAGATCGTCACCACCATCAAGCTGATTAGCATATTCATCACCTCTCACAGTCACCACTTCCTTTTTTTATTTTGTGGTGAGTCCACTGAAGATCAAATCTCTTTTGTCTTCTAGAGCTTCTTCATCTCGCATGTCTGAAACTCTGTATCCCTCACTAACATCACATTTTAGAAACTATTAGAAACTTCAATTTATTTATTTTTTAATCCCCACCTGAGGATATTTTTCTCCCTTTGATCTTTAGAGAGAGTGGAAGGGAGGGAGGAGAGAGAGAGAGAGACTGGTTGCCTCTCACACGTGCACTGACCGGGGCTGGGGATGGCACCTGCAATTGAGGTACAAGCCCTTGACCAGAAATTGAACCCGTGACCCTGTGGTGCAGGGGTTGATGCTCTAATTACTGAGCAAAATCAGGCAGGGCTCTTTTTTAAAAAAAATCCTCACTTGAGAATATGTATTTTTCATTGATTCTAGGGAGAGTGGAAGGGAAGGAGGAAGAGAAAGAGAGAGAAAGAGAGAGAAAGAGAGAAACATCGATAGGCTGCCTCCCATATACTCCCTGAACGAGGATCAAACCCATGACCTTTCAGTCACGAGATGATGCTCTAATCAACAGAGCCACCCTGGCTAGGGCAAAAGCTCCAATTTTAGTTATCTCACGCTTTTGCCAAAGGGACGTGAGTTGCTCCAGACAAAAGCTGTTCTATAGCTTTCTTTCTTTTTATTAAATTTATTGCCCCAGCTGGGTGGCTCAGGTGGTTGGAGTGTTGTCCCATACACCAAAAAGTGGTGAGTTTGATCCCTGGTCTGGGCAAATACAAGAACCAACCGATGAATGCATCAATATGTGAAACAACAGATTAATGATTCTTCTCCTCCCTCTCTCTCCAATCAATCAGTCAATCAATCATAACAATAAGTACAAAGTTTGAGTTTTGCAAGATAAAGAGTTTTGGAGATAAAAGGTGGCGATGGTTGCCCAACATGAATGTAATTAATTCCATCCAACTGTACTATTACCCATGGTTAAGGTGGCTATTTTTATGCTATGCACATTTTACCACAATAAAAAACTGGAAAAATCACTTTATATGATTCAGGAGACAAATTTAAGGACCGGACTGCCTCCATTTCCTGTGTCCCGAGTATGTGGTTGGAAGCGGGGTTACAAGAACTCAAAGACTGCTCCACCAAGCTCGGTCATGCCCTCGGGGTGAAACCCTGGGGTTCGCTTCTACTTACACCACTTTCTGGAGGCTACAGGGCACAGAGGAGATTTTTTCACAAAGAAGCCGGACCGACGAGGTGCTGAGGAAGCTCCGACTGATGTCCAGGAATACCAGGTTCTGGTTGGCGCCGAACATGGAGCAAAGGTCCGCCCAGAAGGGAAGCAGGTGCCGATCACTCTGGGACCTTCAGCGAAGCGACAAAGGAGGGAATTTACCAAACACGGCTGGAGCGAGAACCCACATTCCTACGTCACCCTGGAAGTCCTTAGGGTTGCCCTGGGCAACCACCCTTAATACATAAGTAAACTCTAAAAGCTGGAGGATGGCCTGGCCTGGTAGCTCTGTTGGTTAGAACGTTATCCAGATCCACCAACGTTGCAGGTAGGATCCCCGGTCGGGGCACCTAAAGAATCAACGATGCTCACTTCGGCAGCACATATACTAAAAAATTGGAACGATACAGAGAAGATTAGCATGGCCCCTGTGCAAGGATGACATGCAAATTCGTGAAGCGTTCCATATAAAAAAAAAATCAACGAATAGAGTTCCTGGCGGCAGAGGCTGCGTGGGGTCGTGTTTTCACTTTCTGCCCCTGCAGACCACCTCCACGATGGCGAACTCGGGGTCGGTGTAGAAGCGGCTGCTCCAAGAGGACCTGGGCCTGTGGGAGGACCTGCTGCGCCTATGGGTTTGAAGAGCCATTCGCCATCCAGCAGCGCGCCATCAAGTTCATAATTCAAGGGAGAAACGTCATTGCACAGTCTCAGTCTGGCACGGGCAAGACCGCCACCTTCAGTATTTCTGTCCTCCAGTGTCTGGATATCTAGTTACTTCACCAGGTCCATGAGCCCCAGGCTTTGATCTTGGCCCCCACGAGAGAGCTGGCTGTGCAGATCCAGAAGGGCCTTGCTCGCGCTGGGCCACTACGTGAATGTGCAGTGTCACGCCTGCATCGGGGGCACCCATGTGGGGGAGGACATCTGGAAGCTGGACCACGGGCAGCACATCGTGGCCAGCTCGCCGGGGCGTGTCTTTGATATGATTCAGCACAGGACTCTGAGAACACATTCTATCAAGATGTTGGTTTTGGGTGAGGCTGATGAGATGCTGAATCAAGGTTTCAGGACTCTGAGAACAGATTCTATCAGGATGCTGGTTTTGGGTGAAGCTGATGAGATGCTGAATCAAGGTTTCGGGACTCTGAGAACAGATTCTATCAAGATGCTGGTTTTGGGTGAGGCTGATGAGATGCTGAATCAAGGTTTTGAGGTCTACAGGTACCTGCCCCCGGCCACGCAGGTGGTGCTCATCAGCGCCACGCTGCCCCCACGAGATCCTGGAGATGACAAACAAGTTCATGACAGACCCCATCCGCATCCTGGTGAAGCGTGATGAGTTGGCGCTGGAAGGCATCAAGCACTTTTTCGTGGCAGTGGAAAGAGAAGAGTGGAAATCGGACACGCTGTGTGACCTCTACGACACGCTGACCATCACGCAAGCCGTCATCTTCTGCAACACCAAGAGGAAGGTTGACTGGCTGACGGAGAAAATGAGAGAAGCCAACTTCACGGTGTCGTCGGTGCACGGGGACATGCCGCAGAAGGAGCGGGAGTCCATCATGAAGGAGTTCTGCTCCGGTGCCAGCCGGGTGCTCATCTCCACCGACGTCTGGGCCCGGGGCCTGGACGTCCTACAGGTGTCCCTGATCATCAACTATGACCTGCCCAACAACCAGGAGCTCTACATCCACAGAATTGGGCGGTCAGGGCGGTGTGGCCGGAAGGGCGTGGCCATGAACTTTGTGAAGAACGACATCAACATCTTGCGAGACACTGAGCAGTACTACTCCACGCAGGTCGACGAGATGCCCATGAACGTTGCCGATCTGCTCTGAGGCGTCTGCTGCGCCGGGGACGAGTCGGCCAGCTCTGTCCCCTCGGGACTGTCCAGAGCAGTTTGTTTAAGGAGGTTTCGGCACACATGGGAATTGAACTTTGACCCCTCTGACCACATTGTCAGGGCGTGGCAACACCTGCAGCTCACGGAGAGGATGTAGGAAGGACACAAAGTTCTTGCAAAGGGAAACAAGTCTAGTGGTGCCTCGCAACCCGCCCAGGATGCGGTCTTGGGTCTGTCTTCTTTTCTTTTGTTTTTTTGAGATATTTCATTGTAGTTTTTTTTCTTTTTTTTAAATTAAATCTTTATTGTTCAGATTAAAAAAAAAAAAGAATCAACGAATGGCCCAAGCTGGTTTGGCTCAATGGATAGAGTGTCGACCTGCGGACCTGAGGGTCTCAGGTTCGATTCCAGTCAGGGGCACATGCCCGGGTTGCAGGCTCAATCCCCAGTAGGGGGCGTTCGAGAGGCAACCAATCAATGATTCTCTCTCATCATTGATGTTTCAATCTCTCTCTCCCTCTCCCTTCCTCTCTGAAATCAATAAACACACACACAAAACTAGAATAAAATCTTAAAAAAAGCAACCAATGAATGATCAATAAGTGGAACAAGTTGATATTTCTCCCCCCACCCCCCCCGCCTCTCTCTTCCTGTCCCTGTCTTTCTCTATTATAAGTTCGGTGATGTCTGACAGTAATGCGAAATGATTACAAGTCATCACCTAAGACCTATCACTGGAAAAATAACTCAATAAAGTTGACACTGCAATATGACAGAGCATTAGAATAAGTCAAAATCTGCTCTAGCCGGTTTGGCTCAGTGGATAGAGTGTCGGCCTGTAGACCGAGCAGAAGGCAACCAATCCATGTGTTTCTCTCCCATCGATGTTTCTCTCTCTGTCTCCCTCTCTCTAAAAGTCAATGGAAAAATATCCTCAGGTGAGGATTAAAAAAAAAAAAAAGAGGAAATACTGACATTAAGCCACATTAAGCAGGAGGCTGTCCTCCACAGTGGAGCCTGGGATGAGGCTAAAGGTAAAAACACCAGTGGAATAGGAAAGGCGAGTCCTTACCGCTCCGCCCACGTGCCTGGCTCCGAGGCCCCATCATTCTCCAGGAAGATCCCCTTCTCCACCTGCAGCCAGAGCCTGCGCAGGGCCTGGCCGTGCCTGAGGCAGAAGGACGCGTGCACGAGGTCCCTCTCACTCTGCAGGTGCAGGGCCAGCTCCGTGATGGGCGCCAGGGCCTCCCTCACCAGCGCCTCCTCTTGAGACTCATAGAGGCAGCGCATCAGCTCCCGGGTGTCCGCCCTGGAGGAGAGGGCCAGTCCCTGCTGCGCATCACTCTCAGCAGCTCCTGCCTGACGTCCAGGGACACGCGGCAGCCGAAGGTGGCCTCCAGCTCCCGGGCCCTCTCCTGGTTGGCGAGGCCGAACAGGAAGTAGCCCACAGGGGTCAGGCTGGGGTTGAGCAGCCGCTCCTCCTTGGACAGCAGCGCGCGCACGTTCCCGATGTCCGGTGCCCAGCCGCCCGCGTCCTCTCGCTCTGCGCGGTCCAGCAGGTAGAACAGGGCGGCCAGGAACTGCTGGACGCTGAGGTGTAGGAAGGCGTAGCAGCCCTCGCAGTCCACGTCCGCCTGCAGGACCTTGCCGTCCAGGAAAGGTCGCAGGTCGGACTCGCTGACCCCCAGCTGCCCGAGGTCTTCGCCATCGAACAGGGACGTCTGCGCCCAGATGCCCCGGGCGGCCAGGAGGCTCAGAGCCTGGAGCGCAGTGGGGAGGTGCAGAACGGGGCCCCTGCCAGGGGCCGCTGGGGAGCACTGGTTGCACAGGAAGCGCAGGAACAGCGAGGTGGGGGTCCGGCAGGTGGGAGCCGGGTCCTCTCCCTTCTCCAGCTGCCCCTTCAGACACGTGCACACGACCCAGCACACGGCGGGCGCCGCGCCCATGTGGAACAGCGCCGGGCTGCCCTTCATGCCCTCGAAGGCGCGCAGGGCCTGGTCCTGTTGCTCGAAGTGCTTCAGGAAGTAGCCCCTGCGGTCCGCCTCCAGGAAGCCCTCCACCTCGATGAACAGCGGCTGGTCCACCAGGAGCCGCAGCTCCCCCAGGGCCTCCGGGCGCGTGGTGACCAGCAGCGTGGCCTTGGGCAGCAGCTTTCTCATCAGCAAACTGCCCAGCAGGACGGGCACGGGCTTTGGCTTCTCCCAGTCGCCACAGATGTCATGGATGAGGGACCCCGAGGGCACCCTGAGCTCGTTGAAGCCGTCGATGACCACCAGGATCTTCTGCCCCTGGGCCAGGACCTGGGGGCTGGCCTCCTGCGCATCTGGGCACTTTTTAGCCAGGAGCTCTGTGAAAGTGCAGGGGCCCTGGCGGCCCAGCCCCTTGCAGCTGAGGTAGAAGGCGGAGTGGAATGTCCCCGGGAGGTGGTCCTGTGCCCAGTCCAGCATCCACTTCTTGGCCAGCGTGGTTTTCCCCACGCCCGCGGCGCCCTGCAGCACCACCGTGTGCGGGAAGGGCCCGGCCAGCATGTTGGGGTTACAGAAGGGGACTAGCCTCTCGTATCTCTGCGTGAATCTATGGAGTTTTTCACTGGCTTCGGGCCAAAGGTTTTGCTTCCAGATGGGCCCGGATGTCTCCCATATACTGCTGTAGGTGTCCTGTGTACCTTCAGGGATAGGAGACGGGAGAGAGACGGGGTCTAGCTGGTTAATCATTAGGAACAAAGTGCTTTGTGTCAAGTAGGAAAGAAACGCGTGCACACGTGTACACACACACACACACACACACGGAGAAGTGAGGTTGCTAAAGAGCCACCGGATGCCAAGCTCCCTCCAGGGAGATCTGAGACACACCTGGTGTTTCTCCTTCCAAACCTTCCGTTACTTCTTCTGGGTTGGTGACACTTCCGCCCTGTTCTTGAGTGAGCTCTGTAAAATAGCAATTAGGGTGAGCTTGACACAGAACAGGTGTACTTTATAGGCAATAGAATATGACAGGGCCAGGATAACGAATGAGATCTTGCCACCTGCGACAGCATGGATGGACCTAGAGGGTGCTATGCTCAGTGAAATAAGTCAGACGGGGAAAGACAAATACCGTATGATGTCACTTATATGTGGAACCTAATGAACAAAAGAAACTAACAAAACAATAAAACAGACTCGCCCTGGCTGGTTTGGCTCAGTGGATAGACTAGCGTCGGCCTGTGGACTGAAGGGTCCCAAGTTGGATTCTGGTCAAGGGCACGTTTCCGGGTTGTGGGCTCAATTCCCAGTAGGGGGCGTGCAGGAGGCAGCCAATCAATGATTTTCTCTCATCATTGATGTTTCTCTCTCTCTCTCTCTCT